GCCTCCACCTGTGCTCCAGCGCCAGTGGATTATCCTCCTCGGAGTGGTAACAGGCCAGCCGTGCTTTGAGTAGCTCATGCTTTATGATACTTGCTGTGTCTAATGTGTGTTTCGTCTGCGCTCTTTGCCAGAACCTCCCCGACAAATTGTCACCTCCCCAGCTCAGCTTTGGTAACAGAACCCCATCTCCGGGTTCCCCCCCACCCAGGAAACTTCCCCAGGATCCCCCTCACTCACTCGATTACCCTCACAAGCTTCCTGGTGTCTCTTGATTCCTTTGTATTGTAAAATAAATCCCTCTTGTCTTCTCTCCCCAACCCTGTGTTGCATTTTTGGATCCCAAAAGCATCCCTTCATGCCTTAAAACCCCTCTGATGTAACTCTAGACTATTCTGCTTCCTCTAGAATGTGCAGATCTATAAAATCCTCTTTCTACACCCAGCCAACCCTCCCCACAGTCTGCAACTAGAGCACACCAGCTCACCAACGACTCAAGCATTGTAATGCTACACAATGGCAGCTTGTACTAATGGAGTATTTGGCCATTTGTTTCAACAAGAAACTGACTGAAGAAGAATAAAGATACATAAAGCCGCGGCCACAGAATTGGTTTTCTGGGTTTGTGGTCTATGAAACACCTGAAGTCTGAATCTGTGCTTCTGAGCCTGTCGTCGGTACACAGCAGGTTCAAGGTTGAAACGCTCGGATGTTGCTTTGACTGCTTATTTTGCTCAACACCATCTGGACATGTTAACAAGATTTAAAAAAAAAGTGATTTTCACCAGAGAAGGTCATATGTATATGTATATATAAACACGGCACTGACATTCTGCTTTCCCCAACTAACCAAAAATAAATCTGCTAATGAAGGCTTGTTCGTGTCACAGATATTTCACACCCCATCAGTGCTTAATACAGAACAGGGACAGAGCTTTTGTCCCACTTCAGTATCACTAGTCTCAGACCACCACCGCTGCTGCAGCAAACAAGTCCCCTTTTGCTTGTAGCTTTCTGACGTTTCCAGCACATCTCTGATGAAAGTGTGCCTTGGTAACAGCTACTAATTGGCCAAAACAGTTGACTCCTCTCTTGTGGCGGACTCTTGTGTGCTAGTTTTGTGTCTGTGTGTTCACCCTCTCTGTCCCTGAGTCATGAACTGAGCTTCTCTCAAGCGTAGACATCCGCAGTCTGCTGAAGCTGCTGGCGCAGAAGAACTAGGCCAGATTTGACACACTTCACAACCCATGCTAACCCTGACACACATTATTTCTTGTCAGACCACAGAGGAAAAACCCCGGCACGGTGGAGAGAAAATGATTGTAGTGTTATCAAATAGTTAAGCTGGAGGATTTATTTGGAAAGAAGTTCATGTTCTTTCTGCCTGAGTAATGTGAGACAAAAAAGAAACTTGTAAGTAGACACAGGATGGTTTAAAAAGGCAGGCAAGAGGGAATCAGGTTTGTGCTTTAATGGCAGAAAGAGCCTTTAAGCAAAAAAAAACAACAAAGAAAACCCACAACTGACTGTGTAATTCATAAACAGTTTACATTTGTACCTTATTAAATTGTTAAAAAAGCGTTTTGTGGAGTTCCAAGATGCTTTCATTCAGTAAAATCCTCAGTTCATAAAGTCATAAATGGGTCAAAACTTTGCTGAACAGGATTTTCTGGTTGGCAAAAGTGTAAAGCGAGAGGTCTCTGGGCCCCCTGTGGTGTTTTTTTTAATGCATCAGCACCATCAAAGCCTAAAGTGGTGGATTCCTGCTAGTTTATCATCCACTTTTCAAACAACCCGGCATCTTTGGAAAGTGCACTCAAGTCTTAATCAGGTACACAAACTCTCGTTCCCCCTCCTTCTGAAAACTTTGCTAGACCAACCTAAACCCTGCCAACCCTGTAATAATAAGATCCGAATTGTCCTTTACCAGCTGTTGTCTGTTTATTTCCAGGCAGACTGAGGTAGAAGGGCCAAACCCAAAACATGACCATATGTTTAAACCTTGTCCTATGAACCCAAAACAGGATGTCACAGCAGGCCCTCCGGTCTGAGTAACTGACAGAGACACAGGCGCACAGGAGGCCTATTGTTTTGTTCTGGTTTGGGAAGGACGGACAAGGAAGTGGAAGTGTGGTATAGGAGGAGAAAGAAAGAAATGAGATGTGTGGGTGTGTAGTTATTATACATTGTGTGTGTGATGCTATTTAAAGCACGCAAGCTTGCAAAAAATTGTGTTTGCTGCCTGCACAACAGAGCCATGGGGTTCTTAAATGTCCTTAAACCATCTTTAAAAGGAAAATCCTTCCTAAGATAGAAATTTTATATGTTTTTTTTTCCTTTGTGAATTTGGCCAAGTTTCTCCTCCAAACTGCCGCATGAGTCATCTTCAGATTAATCTGCTCCATGGAGAGTGAACAACAGAACAATCCGTACAGCACACATGACGACGGCAACACCAGAAAACATTTTCACTAAACCGAAGCTCATTTGGAAAACTTAAAGGAATTCTTTGATATTTTGGGGAAACTGACGTTTTCTGCAGAGACTTGAATGGAAAGATAGCGTTCTTTTGTCTGTATGTAATTGGAGCCAACCACCGGCTAGCATGTGAGCTTTGAAAGGTGCTGGCTGGTGGATTTTGTTAAAGGCAGCAAGTCTGGTCTCTGTTTTCACTATGGTTTAATTATAAGGACCTTGAATGGAAAATGTTGGCCTGGGAACATTTTATAAAATTTGCAACTTCCAAGTACGGACTTAAAACTTGATGTAATTTTCTCTTCTGATTGGACACTAAGTGGGATTCTACCTTTAATTTCTAGTTGAATAAGATTCAGTTTGAGAGTTTAAGACCTCTTTTTGCTAAACTGTGGTTACATTCATCATCATGTCACAAATGTGTTTATTCATTCTAGTCATTTGGTCAGTTGACGATTGAAAGAGAGACAATATTGATTATTGTGAAAAATATTCTCCAAAAATTCTCCAAAGTCAAAGGTGAAACAAGGTCTACATAAAGACGTAAATTCAATGCATTTAATGTTTCATATACATTTTCTACATGTGGGACTATATAGACTTTGGAACCCAAACAGGCAGGTTCCAGGACATCGAAAAGAGAGCAGCCGTATACTTACAGAGTAAAATAAGAAATGTGCTCACTGCTGTAACACACATGCACAAGTACTTAGAGGTTACAGCTTGGACTACTCCAATGTGCTCTCTGCCCTAGCCCTAGCAGGTTAGCTCAGTAGCAAAGCATACAGCTTAGTAATTGTTGGTGTATTCCCTGCTAGGATCCTCGTCTTTCTTATTGCTCCACCATGTTATGTACAGTAATAAAAAATTCTCTAAAAATTAGCCCTCTCATTATTCTGGCATTTAGCAAATAGAAATAATTTTGGTGATCCTAACTGACCTGAAACAGGAAAAGTTTAGTCATATTTAATGTCAGACAGTGAGAAAAAAAAAAGTTATGTCTTTTTATACAGTTGAATTTTTGAATTTTTGAATTTCCCTTCTAGGATAAATAAAGTATTTTTCATTTCATTCATACAGTATTTAAACTCCTGTGGTTCAGGTGGTAGAGCAGTTGTTCTCTGATAGCAAGGTTGGTGGTTCGATCCCCCGTCCCTCCACAGTCAAAGTGTCTTTGAGCAAAACATTGAACCTGAAGTTGCTCCCAATGGCAGGCAGCACCTTGCATGACAGCTCTGTCACCATCGGTGTATGAATGTGTATCTACTCTCAGATGTAAAGCATCTGCTAAATGAAATTGTAAACTCCTGGTCTCAACTGTATTTTTTCGCTCTTGTTGTTGGTTAGGTCCCAATATGACCATTACTAATACGCCTATTATTTGCACATTAGAGGTTAAGAGTGGTCACTATTGCAAATCCTGGTAAAGTATTACTTTGTGAAAAAACTTTTGCTTTTAAACTGCTTTCATAAATGTCTTCTCACCAACATTTTTAGAACCTTTTAATAGAAAATGCTCACTTGATTGTGCTCATTTATTTTCATTATGAAAACACGAAATACAAAAACAACAAAATACCTGCAAGTCATGCATGAACACGGCAAAGGACTGCAGAGTTTATGTGCAAATCGTAACTGACAATCATTTTTAAAACTGCACCATATTGACACCATTTGCAATCTGCTTGGAAGTGGGACTCGCTTTTGTAAGACAGGCTCTTGGTGCATGAGTCCAAAATGTTTACTAGACACTTTCCCTCTTGGCTCAGAGACCTTAAAAATGGAATGATGTCATAAAAGTAAAAATGACTTTACTCTGGGAAAGTTTTACAAATATAACATCTCTGTGGAGAAAAAAATAAACAATCCAGCCAGTTTGCACTTTATAAGGTGTCCTTTCAACAGTTTTACAGATGTCTCTGTTTTCCACTCTTTATGCTCGACTAAGCCGAATCTAAATTTATCATATTGACGCGTCACTCACCAATTTAATGAAAATAGATCACCTCCAAGAAGTGTCACCTGATAATAGTCTTGCCTCAAAACTCGAGCTCTGGCTTCCAGTTTAGGGAGTCAGCATAAATTATAAATAGCTTTAGATTTTTGTCTTAAGATTTCAGCCCATTGTGAGCTGGAGCGTGTGAAAACAAACGCTGACTCAAGAGAAGAAATGCAGACTGTCAGGAGGAGGCTGCAGACAGGGCGGAGGTTCTGCTCTGGGATGGCATAGACACAGCATCAGGCCACACGGAGGTCTCCCTGTCTATAAACACAACCTGTTGCAGCCCTCTCAAGAGCGTACTATGCAGGGAATGCTAAAAGGATTAGCCACTTGAGATAATGTGAAAAATGAGACGTGACGTGGCGGAGGAAGGCAACAAAGAGTCAAGGACGAAACAGCATCACAGTACTGATTACGTCTTCTTTCCTTTTTCTGTTTGTGCTCCAAAAAGTGCACAATGGCTTCAGACAATGCACTTCCATAGAATAATAACAACAGAAACATAAAGATGACAAAAACACACATATTTCCTTATTTGTGTTTATTTGCTCTGTGCATCATACACAAACCTCTTTGGAATAAAAACTAAATCTCTCATATATATCAAATTAAAAAAAAATAAAAAAAAAGAGGATCAGAAGTTACGGGGCCACTTTGTAAACATGCAACCAAACAGTTTTTAACAGGGAGATTAAAAATAAAATAAAAATAAAAGAAAGGTCCAGGTGGAAGGAGTTTCAGGAGTGTTCATGCTCGTGATAAATACAGAAAAATAACACCAAGGTTGCAAGTAATTGTGTTAATTTATCACATGTACAAATATAACGTGCCCTTGAGTTCAGTAATACTCAGGCTACAAGGCCTCTCAGTCTAACCTCCGCATACCACCGTAGACCCCCCCCCCCCGGTTCACATTTCAGTGGCATCCTCGCAGGGCAAGCAATGGAAATGACCTTTCACAGGAGATAAAGTGAGAATCACTGAAGAATGGATGAAGTGAGGTAGGATCTGTGGTTATGAGAGACAAGGGAGGAGGGCAGCTTCAACCCTCCCTGCTTGTTTTGATGGGAAACGGGCTGACTGAGCTGGGAGGGGCCGCTCAAACATCTGCAAACTGCCAGATGGCGAAAGTGACAGAAACATTTGGCATTAAGGGTCTGACAGCGTGAGCTCCTTTACTTTTAGAGGTGAATATATTATTTTATGAGATGCTCCACAGGTTTGAAATTACTTTACTGGGATTAAAATTCCCCGCTTGTTTAAACTTGCTTGTCAAAGTCCAGTTTGGCTCTCACAGGATTGACTACTACCAGTCTGTTTATTATTATCGCAGCTCATGAGCTCACACCGCAGTGACCACTGAACAGGCACGAAACATTGACTGCGGTAATCAATGACTGTGTCGCAAGTTATTACTGAACATTGACTGTTTTTGAAAAATTAAATGATGGAGATGAATATTACTGGCCAGGTGTGAACCCTTGATTTCTAGGATGCAAATACTTCTTTGAATCCAGCTCAGTGTTTAACATCAAACGAGATGAATGTCTGGAAAGAGTCGATGCTATAATTCTATCTTTCATTTGCTCTCTGTGTCCAGTTCAGTGCATTAATAACCCCACAGGGGTGCCTCACATGTTTGTTCCAACGCCTGCGTTTAAGTAGTTTTAAAAAAAGCAACACACAAACTAAACTGGGACAGATTCGAATGAGGTACTCATGGTTCACTTCACACTCACACAACAGTTTTCCAGTTTAGAAAAAAACATAGCTTAGTGGTTTTCCATTTCAAATTAGTCATTAAGGGAGAGTGTTGGTGTCAAGAACACTAAACCGTGTCCATCGTGTCAGACAAACATACACTTATGTGCCTTTTAAGGGGTCACGGGGGGCTGATGTCAAATCAGTTCTGACTCTGTTCTGTCAATAGCTGAAAAGAAGCTACAAATGGACGGGACAACATGTCCACTCCACACACACACACACACTCACACACACACTCACAAATACCAAAACACACTGCTGAGTGAAACAGCTCCATTTGCCAGGAAGGTCAGTCAATCCTCACATGATGCCTCCATAGGATCTATAAATACAATATATCAATTTGACGAAATGTAACTATGAGCAGTTGTTGTTCTCTAACTGGAAGAAGCAGTCTCTTTGGAGTGAGGGGACTGAAGGTAATTGTGTGCCATGGAATGCTAATCCTTCACGCAGACATTAGCATCTTAAAACAAAATCCTTAGGCCACTGCCTTTGACACTTATTTGAAATTTAAAAGTAAAATCACATTTTGAAGGCAGCTTTGTCTAATAAAGCTCGGCTGTTTGACTCGCGCCGCTGCGTGAGGCTCAAAAATAGAACCAACTTCTATCATTTTTCCTTCTGTGCTGCATTACAGCAATGCACCTGGTTATTCGCAGCCCATAGTGAAGGCTATTTTTGAAATTCAATAGAAACGTAATGATCATTAACGCAGACGTCTGCAGAGTTACTTTCTCGTGTGTGTATATCAACTTCTGCACTGTTTACTGGAAAAGAAATGAACAAACTCTGCAGAGTCTTAGCACTCCATGGCACGTGGATCCTTGTCCCTATATTAAACAGTCGACTCTTTGGGTCCTTCACGAGCAGCATTCTTACACCCATATAGCCACTTGATGACACGAGCGTTCCTCTCGATGATCGACACACCGGTGGGAAGCTGCTCAGCCAGCTCCTCCTGAAACAGTCCATCTCCTGAGTGGCGGGAGAACTCGCTGGGCTCTGAGCCACCACAACCGTCCCCGCCCACACTGCGGAGCGCCAATGAGAGCGTGTCTATAGAGCTGGCACCAGAAAGGAAATTCTCTCGTCCCAGACGCTCTATCATGTCCACGTCCAACCCACAGAAGTCAAAGAAATGCTCCTGCTCCGATAACGCCACCGAGCAGCGCAGACGCATGTCGGACTTGGAGCGGTGCAACTGTCCAATCTGCCTTCTGGGTGCCGGCGGTGACGCCCGCTTCCACGGATCATTTTCATCATCATGGTTGCCGTTGGTGATGCCAGTGTTAACTCCGTCACTGGTGCCATTGGTTAAGCCATTCTTAGTCTGTTCAAGTGTGCAGCTTAACCCAGGGCTGGGGATGGACTCTGGGCTGCGGTCTTGGTCAGTTTTACTTGACCTCCTGCTCCCTGGTCCCCCATCCATAGTGTCTTTATCGTTGGTCCAAGACATGCGGGAGTCACCGTCCCGCGACGGAGCTTTCTCCTCCCCGATCACCATCTTCTGGATTCTGCCCTCACCTCTGCTACTCTTCTCTCTCATGGAACCCTGGAAGAGGCGGCGGACAAAACTGTAACCCTTCACCTCCATGTTATTGTTTTCGCCCATTGCAGCACCGCTCGGGCTTTTGCACTCTTTCTTCTGCCTGTAGATGACAAGGGAGTCTGGCCTCAGCATGCGCTTGCCTGTACTCCTTCTGAGTATAGGGGCACTGTGTGGTGCTACCAAGGTGTTAATTCCAGGTCCCCTGGGGCTGGAAGGCATCCCATTGCTCACATTGCTCCTGTTATGTGCCTCAACATCAACAGAAGTCCGTCTGTTCTCCTTTCTGGAGTCATCGTTTTCATTTTCATCTCTGGAAGTTAAGGAGCCAGATAGTGTAGAGAAGGGTGTGTTGGACGAACGCCGTGGAGGAAGGTGAGGTGTCAGGCTGCCTGGGACGGTAATTGCTCGCCGGGGCTGTGGCGGTGGGGTGGCACAGGGCACAAGCACAGGCTCTTGCTTGGTGTTGATCACCTGCTGGCTCTTAACATATTTGGCTTTGTCTGCCTCGAGCCTCTCCACGGCGCTGGTGGAGCGGCCGTGGCCTCCACCATCGATCTGCCTGCGCAGGTAGTCAGGACCCTTGTTGAGGAGCCTCAGAGGAGAGGGGGAGCCGATTGGTGTTAGAGGCTTCATGCTAATTCACCAATCTTTGACAGACATCAAAACTGCAGAGTGCTTGGAACGGCTTTAGAGAACCGTGGCAGCACTCATTCCTGTTCTCACAGCTTTGAAATCTTTTTTGGGGGGTAATAGACAAGCAGTAATTCAGGAGACCACAGAGTCCGAGTTTGTTGCAACGCTTGCTATAGATAGCTTACAGTCTCTTTGTTGGGCAGTGTTAGAACCCAGACAAATTGATATCTCTGTGCAGTATTTATACAGGCATTTGGATAGGCAGGCAGGGAACAGGGAAGTCCTTTTTTGTCAGCCAAGAGCACTCCCAAATGAGATGCTCCCTGCCCACAGCGCAGCAGAAATAGCAGGCAGGGTGCACTTTGTAAGGGTTACTTCTTCCTCCCCCACTTTTTCTTCTCTCTTTCCGTCTTCCAGCGACACCCTTCACTGTTGATCTTTTCAGCTGCCCGGAGAAATCAGATATAATTCCTTCAAATATTTGCTTTGTGCAGGCTTTCGAAGGGACACCGGGTCAATACTTTTTATTGTTTGGCGCCCGTCGTGGTTAAGTTGACCTGAGGGTGGCCGGCACCGAGGCACTTGGTTCGTTGATGGACAGATGGTGGAGATGCAGATCACGTCCTTGTCCTCGCCTCACCTGTGTGGACCCTGGGAGACAGAGAGAGAGAGAGAAGGAATGGTTTTAGTTGGAGGTGCTACTCTCCAGGGCAGGCAGCAGAGACCAGATGGCAGGAAGGACAGCCGTCCCTAAAGCTCAGCTCAGGTTGTGCTTATTTAGAGCTGGAGGGAGTTGCATATCTGGAGCAGGCAGCAATGTAGAGCTGACATGTATGAGCATTTTATTACCTTCTGCTTTACATATACATGAGATGGATTTCAATCATGCCAGTATTACAGTATAAGTGGTGAATGAGAAAACAAAACATGAATACGCTATTGTCTGTTGTCTAGACAAGATGATGACATGTCTGCCACCACATGTGTTCTGCGCAGAAGGACAGACACTATCATCCTCTGTCTGGCCGGTTGTTTAGGCTTCGTTTGTTGAAGCAAATACAACATTCTGTGCTTTTGAAAATCTTAACAAGCCGATTATTTTAAAGGACAGCAAATTTGGAAATTGTTCCTATCGATTTGCTTCTTTCTTGAGCGCTGCTACAAAACAAACTGTCTTGGCACCAATTCGTCTTTCTGTCACAGCTTTTGCATTCAACGTAATATGACAAGTAACTCCAGAGGCAGAAATCTGTCAAAAAAAATCATGGTTTTCTGACATACCAGGGGTGACTGACCTCTTTCAAGTTTTAAACAAACATCTACACTGAAAACTGCTGTAATTCAAACCCACTAAAAAGCGGTTTTAAAATGAACCAATTACTTCTCTGTCATAGTCTCAGCTTTACAGCTTATTCCTCAAATTAACAAGCCGCTACAAAAGTTAATTTACAGGGCATGACGCCATACCATAGGTGGCCATATTTTCTATTTATTGTGTTCTGTGAGGAGAGACGGTTCACATCTTTTAGGTTCGGATGCTATGGGGTAAAAAGAGGGGGGAGGGGTTTGCACGTGCCTATAACTGGCTAGGCTCTACCCCGGCAGTATTTATAGCTTGAAAACATCCCAGCACAGTTATCATGTGTCTACGTATGTGTGCATGTGTGCGTGCGGTCATGGGTATTTGTGTATCTGCTCTAGTTTTATGCGCCCATAAGCATATGCGTATGTCAGCACGGGGCAATAAGAGGCTGCTCTTGTAAATTGAAAAGGGGGTTGTATGCACAGTAAGGCAGCACAATATTCTTCACCTTTTTTTTTTTTTTATAAACACAAAAAACAGTAAGTGTCTTTTGTTCTCCAAAGGGGCAGACAAAGAACACATCTCTAAAACTGGAAGCTGATATAAATACCCAGAGGCACAGGTGGTGGTTTTTCATTCACCCCTTTTCAAAATGTATTATAAGCCCATCTGGACAGATAAATGCTCCTTATGTTGTGCTCGACAGCAGGAGGGTGTTATATTGTGGTGCTTATTGTTCCCTCAGGTCTGCTTCACGTGTTATCAAATGCTATTTTAGCTTTTCCTTCACAAGAGGTAAAACAATGGAGCAGGAAAGAGGATCCATGTTTCATCTGTTAGGATGAACCACATGACAACAGTGAGAGTGGCAAACACTTACACCCCCCATCCTACACCTTTTATAGTCTCGATTTACAGAATATGGGTCACAGGATGACATGCAACAAAGGTTGAGGCCATTTGAAGAACAGAAAACATGACTTTTTGTAACTGAGCTTGAGCTTGAAGAAACAGCAGCAATTTCTTAATCAGTCATTTAATATCAAATATTTAAACTTGTACTATATTACTTCTGTTCTTAAAAATGGAAATTTTTTGCCACTTGGGTGCGATAATTGTACGTGGTCTCTTGTTTCAAATAGAAAAGTGTAAGAAACCTGTAACCTGAAAGGCTGGCACATCAAAATAGATGGGTGGTTTTTACATGGACCACTACTAAATTCCTCAAATTCTCTCCATTTTATTTTTCACTGGGTTTGGTATGACTGTTCTATTATGTACTCTAATACTAAATATTAAACTGGAGTTGACACTGAAGAAGTAGGGCTAACATTTGAGCATACTCTCCACCTCGTTCAGCCTCTACATCCCCTCACAGAGCCTGTCAAATGGCATACCACTATAAATTACCTGAGGAAGGGGGAGGCTACAGCACACTGGTTAGTTTTTCCAGATGTGGGCTTGTCGGAGCTCGGGAAAGTCAACCATTGTTTGGGTAAGGTTCCGGGAAAAATGTCTCGCAACAGGTGTGGAGGTAAAAAAAAAAGAGATTGTATTGGGCATGAAACAAGAAAAACGGGTGGAAAATGAGGAAGTGGGAATGGGGGGCTGTGGCATGTGGCTTGGTTTACAGGGTATTTATTAGACATCTTTTCTCATGGAACAATCTGTTCCCAATCCGAGTTCGAAATGAAAAAGTGGCTGGCTAATGCTATTCAAGCGTTAAAGGAGATTATCGCCATAGGAGCCTAAACAAAGTCATTAATGCCGATGTCAGCTACTCTGTGAGGGGGGATGGGGGTACAGTATGAAAAAAATCTGATGAAGAATACAAGGGGCAATATCAATGGATACAGGAACTGGTAAATCCCCACTGAGCCAACAGGCATAACCTTGGAACCCACAACAATATGAACAATATCTGTGTTTGTCCTACTTCTAATGCATTTCCTTCGCTCTGCTTGTAACGCTTGTGTGCATTCATTGAATCTGACATGAAGAGCTCGAAGGGAACCAGCCACTTTCAGAGGTTATCGCTTGCTCCAGGTGCTATCTTGGACATCACGTGACTACATCTGAGTCACGGCGCTAGCTGTCGGTTGTTTGGGACAACATCTTGATTTTAAAAAAATGTCACTAAAGAGTCACTGATACAAGTGTGCTAAAAAAAAAAAAAATCTGAACATCAGTTAAAAAAAGACAGAGAGAAGAGAAAGCTGGAACACCAGAGAGACTGCAAGACTAAAACACACAAGGAAATGCGCTCACACACACACACACACACACACGGAGCGTAAAACAGTGACTCAACTGGGATTTGCTGGAGAACAATAGCCACCATTAGTTCCATTGACCATAATGAGCCAAATTAGTACCCAGCGCCTTCTCCTGTGATCTCAGAGCTCGAGAAAAGCGTGAGATGGCTTTAGAATTTCTCTTGTGCTTCGCGGCCTCCTTCGTCCCTCGCTGTAGGTTGTCATTAACCCCTGAACCCTTCTGAGTGAGCGCTGCCCCACCTTCTCCTTCCAACCCTCCTTCGCCTGCACTCGGCTGCCTTCCTTCCCCCTCCTTCATCTCTTGACATCTCCTGTACAATGTTACAAGGCCCCCCTACCCTTTCATTTCCCTACTCCATCACTCTCATCCCGTATACACGTGTCTGACCCTCTCTCTGTATCTCTTCATCTCTTTCCCTCTCCTGCTCCTTTTACTGTTACTCCCAGAGTGCAACCTTCAAAGGCTTTTATCTCGCTTGACCCAAGATACACTGTGTTACTTTTTGCGAACAAGATGTCTTTTTTTATGAGAACGGATTCTGCTCGTATGTTGACACTGTTATTGTATTATGTAGTAATCTACCTTCACATAGAACAAGTTCCAACCTGAGAGTTGCAGAATGCACAATGATGCTTAACCAACAAGTCAAAAGAGGTCATGAGTATTAATTCCTTTGCCACCAATCGGGCCATTTGTCACTGTTTTACAGCCGTGGATGCAGCAAATACACAATATGTCTTAAACAATCTAGCTTGTCCAAAGTGTTGTCCCAACACATCGAGCCAAAACTGTGTAATCTCTTTAGAACAGCGGCGCTCAAAGACAGGGTGAAAAGCCAGCCATCGTAAAGAGGAGTGAGACACGATAATAGTTTAAAGGTGCACGGTTTTGGACAAAAACATTCAGGTTCTACACATGAAAAGAGACCGAACCAAGCACCGGGCAACACCTGAGCGATTTCTGTGAATTGTCCAAATGTCAGTTTCAGAAAAAAATTGCCAGCTGCATGTTGGAGAGATTTGGGGGTGGGTGCAATGACACTTCAGACATTATTTAGCAATTTTTCAAGCAATTTTTCTTGAAGAATTGTGCTCCCTTAATAGCCAAATACCTATTACACATCTCTGCAAGACTGTCTGCCTTATGTACATGACACTGAATGGAATAAATAATTATAGGTACAAAAAAAATAGTAAGACCTGCAGAAACTTCAAACGTCTGATTCTCAATTGATTGTAGACACCAACAAACTCTCTGATCATCAGTCCACTATGTAAAGTGTCTAGCTCCTCCTTTACGCCTTCCATTTCTCTGTTCTTTAATAAAACCGTCCCTCTCTTTCTTTCCTCTCTCCCGCATGTCCTCTCTGTGAAGCGCATGGCTCAGCCTGCAGGGGAGGCTTAACCAGGCGCCCCCATGCAGCTAAAGAGGAACCAGATGTTTTGTGTCATGCTACATCAAGATACTCAGATGGCCCTGACGGACCTGTCATGGGAAACGACTGCGGGCTTTGGTTGTCTTTTTAATCGATAGTATTGTTTGTGCCACATGCGTTTGACCCCATGACAAGACAAAGCAGGTCATCTTTGGGTCTTGTTATCAATTAGGCGAAAGCATCTTCTTCCTTCTCCGATGTGAAAGTGGTGCCCTCGGAAGAAACCAAACACAGAGAAATCCAGGAAGTGTTTGTTTGCTTCCAGAGAGCCCATAGAAGAATAGCTTCATCAAGGCTTTACAGGGCGTAGCCAAAGGAAAACCAGCTGGCCTCGGATCAGAAGGTTAAAGGAAGTTTCCCACTGACTTATGTGTGCAGTGAGGTAAACACAAGATAGGAGGTTAATAAATTCACGAGGACCACCTTTGAAGCTCTCGGGAGTGTATTCTGCACGCTTACCTGTCAAATTAATCTCTGGACAGATGAGGGGCATCTGCTGCAGACAACTGGCCACTTCTAATGTCTTTCCTCTTTTTCTCTGTCGTCTTACGTTTCCTCACTTTCTTTATACGAACATCTGGCGCAGCTATTAAGGACGACACACACTAACAATCATCACTAATGGACCGAACTGTC